ACATTAAACATGACTGTTACGGATGTCGGTGGTGGTAGTGGCTGTCAACGATGCAATCGCCATATTGGACAGCTCTCGCTAACCATTCCGCTGCGTCGCGCGCGCATGCGCTGGCGTCCAGCGGAAAAAGATCGCAGACCGTATCCGGTGAGGTGGATGTCGATCGTTCCGTCGTCGTTTTGCGTCGTCGTGATGGTGTTGTTTTTTGGTTTTTCGCTCTTTTGGTTTTGCGTCCTTTCTGGTTTTCTTCTTCGATGTGCAATGCATCGGGCAGGGATGACGGCATGCAGAAGGAAAATCGGGTGATGGAGACGCCGCCCTCACCTCCATGTCCTCCTCCATGTGTTCTTTGATATCAACCAAAACGGCGAGTTGCGAATCGCAAGAAGACGAACCAACGTCGTCTTCACCGGACGAAGCAGATGGAACTTTTTCTTCTTCTTCATTCATCATCTCGTGAAGGAAAGACACGGAATGAAGGTAGCGAGCTAAATAGGCGACTTGAACGGTCACGTTTTTCACCACAAACTCGTCGATTGGTGCGTATTGCACTTCCGTTTTGTAGATAATGACACAATACGCTGACGCCAGTTGGCTGTGCTGTACCCGTTTCCCACCAGATCTTGATGTCAGTTTGCGAGGGGAGTACGGCAGACTCTATGGCGGAGTCTTCCAATACAATAATTAGGAAACCAAGTATTCAGATACCAATATTCCATTGCCGATATGGGATTGCGATTGTAGTAAGAACGTTCCGCTTTTTGGATTATTTCAAAGAGATACGGGTGCCATTGTTCATCGCCAGTATAAAATTTTACATTGCATTGAAGTTTGGAATAAGGGTAAAACTCGTCGTTTAAATACAGTTTTACTCTTGTCATATCGTTACCATCGAATTAACCCGAATTCTGTTTCAGGTCTCCGTCTTTCCCCTTTTGCATCCCAAAGAAAATGTACAGGGGATGGTCCTCTTTTGCGGCAGTCTTCACCGTCCACTGAAACGGTCCATTTTATCCACTTGGAACGTTGGGGTATTCGTGAAGTGACCATCGTCTGAATTACACGGGGACCTGCCGTCGGCTTTCCAGCGTTCGCGTCACCGCGAGGGAAGCAGCATCGCTCAGCGTCAAAAATTCATTCTCCAAATCTCCAAATCTCGTCCGTCACGGTAATCGTTGTTTCGTCTGGTGTTTCGTTTTTCGTCGTGAGTCATCGATTATCATGACGACCTCGAATGAGAACGACGTCGTGTTTCACACCAGTCATGATACGCGTGTGATCTTCGAAAAATCCCATCCACAATCGCAGTGGCACGATACCGTAAAATTTTCCGCCGGTCTTACTGAGCATGAATTTGGCGTTGCTGTCGGCAGTCTCGTATAATAGGTCTTCGCTCCAACATGCGTTGCCGAATGATCTTCTATCTGCTGGCGAAAGGAAACACACGTTCTTCATCGTGCTCGTGATGCCCGGATTTTTCACAACGCCGACGATCACGTTGATTTCGTAACGAATTTCATTCAAAAGAAAGGCGAAACCGTTGTTGATCAATTCGCAGTTGGTGCGCGTGGTGGTGCCCGTTTTGACCGCAGATCCCTCGATGACGAGCGAACTCTCGCAAGGTAAGAGAACGGCGTCCTTATTCACGATAGTAATGCGAATTTCATTGTTTTGACCAAACGATTTAATGTACGGAAAGTGTTAGTGAACAGCTTCGTTGACGATGTGGTGCTTTATATTCTCCTTGCGGAGTTCTTATATTCTCCTCGCGTGTTCGTCCACAAATTCCGTTGAAGTAGGATGATTGGTCTTCATTTTCTTCGACGACATTTTTCGTTTTTCTTCTTCCTCCTTAGAAGAATACTGTAACCCAACGCTCGTAAGGTTTGTCGACTGGATGGTGTTAACGTGGTGAGCGGACAAAGCACTCTGTGCCTCGGTCGCGATGCGACCTGCGTTTTATAGTGCTGTTTCGGTGTTCTTTTAGAAGAAAGCAGCATTGCGATTGCTTCTAGGGCGTACGAGTAAGGTGCACGTCAACGGTGTTTCCGAGTGCAATGGAATCAGTTGCCCGTCCGCGATCTCGTCGATCCAACGTCGCGTGACGCGGTGATAGATTTTTCGGTCGGTCTTTCCTCGATGACGGTGGCGGGTACATTGTTCACGTGAAACTGATACAGCACGTGGGCTATTCGATCGTTTATATACCCGCTTTCGATCACATTACACGTGACGAACACTTCAAAATCTTTCACGATCGTCGGCAAAGCATCGGCCGTTATGTACACCCCGAAAGGTGTGGGTGGCACGGTCTTTGAAAATCCGAGGAGAGGACCGATGGACTCGGTGTGTTCGAAACGTAGCGTGAACGACGTGTAGACGTGCACTTTGTTCGTGTGCGGGTCCGCTTCCAAATCGAAAAAGTGCTTATTTTTCGCAAAGTCACCGGGAAACTGTTGATGTAGAATGTTCGATATATGTTGATGGGTCTTCTAAGGTATACGTACCCGGAGGGACGGACAGCATGTAACTTGCTGGATGTCCCCCCACCCCCTCGACAACTTTGTAGTGGAGTGTGTTGTGACCGTCCTTCACGTTGCGAATGGTGTGAACGGTGCTGTGATGCACTAACGCGATCTCGTACACGTCGTTCGAGAGGTCGACACCCAGCGCAAACCTCACCAAGATCTCCGGCCCCTTCCCAATTAAAGTTAACGTGCGCATGACACGAACGTCTCAAGCAAAATGATAACGTCCGGTGTTTAATCTTCCTTTTTCTTCTTCCATTCGTGAACAAGAAATTGCGGACATAACTTGCCGCACTTGTTCGCGTTGTGCTTTTGAACTTTACTCGTGTTGTACGTCACGCAGGGTCCGCGCGCGTAACGAAGGAATTCGGAAGGGGGCGGAAGTCCGAACGAATCGAAATAACGCACCGTTCGGCCTTGCTTCGCGTCCGCGACGAAATGAGTACCGTCGCCGCTTGCGTCGTCGAGGTTGACGACGCCGAACTCACGCTCCGCCCTTGTTCTTTTGGGCAGCGCATCTCGCGGAAACACGCCACGAAAATGAGGAATGTTCAAAATCTTCTTCGCAAAACGTGTCATTTCCTCATGCGTGAGCGCTCGACGCTTGATTCGTTTTTTTGAGACGTCCTCCCCTTCGTCTTCCTGTTCGTTCGAAGCATTTTCGCGGCCCTTGGCAACACGCCCGATCCTTTTTTGGTCTCTTCCATGACCTTGTTATGACGCACCATTTCCGCTAATTCTCAATTTTTATTTTTGGCGTTTTCCACTGCGTTCGCGATAGCAGCAGCGCCGCCTGCGACAGTCCCGAGCGTTCTCAGTCCGCTGGGGATGGTCGGAATCAGAGGAATGAGGGCAGGCAGAAACCCGCCTCTTTTACCTTTTCTACCGCCAGGCGCCGTTCTCGTCGTCTTTCGCCTTCGTGCGCCACTCCCCGACAGGCGACGTTTCCTCCTCCGCTTACAGGGACCACCGACGCACCGACCTCGCAAAAAAAAATGCCGCGGCCGGAGCAATCACCGCGCCGGAATCTGCTCTTCTCTCTTGCGCGCCTCTCCGCCGTATCGCCCAGGGGGGTTGTCTCCTAAAATCTCTCGTCGTTGTCGTTCTACACACGGTGCGAACCATGGCAGTACTAGTACACGAACGTGTGTGTGTACACACACACACAAATGGTTACCCATACATGTGTCTCGATCTTATTCATTTATCGCTTCGCTATCGGGAATGCCGTTTTTCACGCGCGCTCAGGGTTGCATGTAATTCGCTTTTCACAAAATCCTTCAACGATTGTTCGTGTTTCTCTAAATCATCGCGATGAATAAATTCAACGGCGTGTCTTCCGACATCGTTCATGCACCGCCGCTTCAGCGCGCTCTGACGTACTCGCGTGTCCGAATATATTCATCGCGACAACTGCACTAACGCTATTGTTGTATACACGCAGTGTTTTATAGTGATGTGTGTGTATAGAGGAAAAAACGCAAACCGTTCATGTATGCAAAGAAAATATTTAGCCCTTTCAAAGCGCGCTGCATGCGCGCTCTCGTACCCAACATTTTAACTCAACATGCATTGTAGTGCGCTCTAGTAGCGGAAACGGAAAGTCCTTGCAAACAGTCATAAGCGCGCGGCGCGCGGCTCAGGGCCAACGACCGGATGTCGCGGTTGTAAACGCGCGCGCTGCGCCCCGATGCTTATTAAAAGCCGGATGCTCGGTCTTCCTATGGCAGCGAGCCGCGCCCCGAAACGCTCAGTCTCATTTTTCCGACACTCGCGTGAAGACGTATTTTATTCGTGAGCATTTTTTTGTGAGTGTTTTTCAGACACGACAAATTATTTTTTAACAGTCAATATCCCGAGGTTTTTTTCTCGTCGATATATTCAGGAGAAGTATCATTCACTATGCAGCTGCATTTGATGATATACTAGGGTTATCTACCGCCTTGTGCGAGGGGGCTCTTGTCAACAGAGCCGATAATTTGGGGAAAACACCGCTCCACTATGCGTATCGTTCGCATCGGTGGACAGCGATGCGCGGGAAAACTTGTGGCACGCGAGTGGTAAGTTACCCCGCGAGTGTGCCATCCTTCCCGAGAGCATTGTGTGCGCTGAAAACTGTGCACAGTGTTCATGGTTCCCCCGCCATTCAAGCATTAGGGTGTTATTATAGAGATTGACAAGAATTCAGTTTACTGTTAAAGTGAATTATGAAAATAACGTGTTGGCAAGGGGGAAGTCAAGCATCTAAAACGGGTAATGGGGAATTTTAAATCCATGTACGGTGGCGGTCACGTTCTTTAAAGAAGCTCTTAAGACGCTTTCATGTAATCACGCCCTAATAACAGTGTGTCACAGAGTTCCCTTTGTCACCTGCTTCCCATTGGCCCGTTGTTTCGAAGCCGTTTGCACTTCCGCTGGGCTCACCTCATCGTATCTTTCTCACGTCGTCGCTTCTCCGTGTGTCGCGCAGAGCTGCTGAGCTCCAACCTGTGCTCGCTGCGCGGCAACGAGGAGCGCTTCGCCTTCTCGTGCGTGTGGGAGATGACGCGCGAGGCCCGCATCGTGGCGACGCGCTTCCACAAGAGCATCATCCGGTCGCGCGCCGCGCTCACCTACGAGCAGGCGCAGCTGCGCATCGACGACCCGGCGCAGAAGGACGCCATCGCCACGTCGCTGCGCGAGCTCAACCGCCTCGCCAAGATCCTTAAGCGCAGGCGTATCGAGAACGGGTAAGACTCGTCGCGAAGTCGCCTCACTAGTCACGTCATTAGTGGCGTCACCGGTGTCATTAGTGGCGTCAGCGTTGTCACTACTGACGTCACCGGTGTGTACTGGCGTCACCGGTGTCACTAGTGGCATCACATTTTAGACTGTAGTAGAAACTGACTGTAAGTACACATGCGGACAGATTTATGTATTAGGACGGGAGACAGAGGCCGCAACATTTTATAAGCAGCAAACATTATGGATTAAAATTACATTTAACGAGCCTTATCATCGTTATGTGTGATTTTTCTTTTTTATGATTGTATTTCATGAGTTTTTGAACAAAAAGTTACACAAGTATGATTTGATTATAATTATTGAAAAGTAGTGTGTTAAATCAGTATGAATTATTCATATTAAAAATTTTAGAAATTATTTGTATTGAAATACACGTAATTTTGATAATGTTTGAAGAAGTCTTTTTCCGTTCATATTTTCTGTTAAATGTAGATATCTACATATTTTAAGAATCGAAAGTAGAACAATGGTAGAATAACAAATAACCACAAAAAAATGAAAAAAGAAAGAAAGAAAGAATTTTTGTTTTTTTTATACATCAAAATATACAATTTAAAAATTAATTCATTTCTCCTAGAAAAAATTCAACATGCTTAAATTAATTAAATCACATTTAATTTTAGTCCAATGTTAAATTTTTAACATAAATTATACTTGTTTATTATACATAACTTCTGTGCTGGGCTACTTGAAAAAAATAAAAGGTGTCAATTTTCGCATACATACAAGCGACAAAGTTGTTAATCTGCTCCTGAGAAAATGTTGTTTGTTCTGGAGTGAGGAATCACATTTCATTAGTTTTGATAGTTTTATAACTACAATCTTTCAAGAACATAAAATTTTTCCTCACAGGCATAAAGAAAGTTGTTTTGGCATAACCAAATACTTCACTTCATATTCCAAACCTGCATCATAAGTATCTATAATTTCTTAGTCACTTGATGCATGGTATCATAGGTAGTCAAGGTAGTCAGTCACAAGGTTTCCCTTATTTAAAGTATGCAACTCTCAGAACACATCTATAAACTTACCACATTAAATGTAATTTTTTTAATTTAGGTGGTTCTGCAGCCTCCTGTCCCTCCTCTTCGCAATGTGCTGATTTGAGCTGTGAATGCATGTAACTTTGATTACTTAGAAGTACTAGCATCATAGTCTTAACTAGGTTGTACTCCAGTTTTATGCTGCTTGTAGAATCTTCCTGAGAAAGATCTTCCTTTGGCCTTCATTTATTTTCTTGTGTGTAATGGAAATATTGTATGTGTCCTTTATATTTTCTAAAGACTCTCCTTTCTTTTCCAGTGCCTTGGTGTTAGCTTCCCCTGAGATAAGATTCCAAGTTGACAGTGAGACCCATGATCCAATTGAGGTGGAAGCAAAGAAACTTAGGGAAACTAACTCAATGGTTGAAGAATTCATGTTACTTGCTAATATCTCTGTGGCAGAGAAAATTGTAGAAGAATTTCCAGAATGTGCAATGCTACGTCGTCATCCTGAACCTCCTGTTGCCAATTTTGAGCCTCTTGTAAAGGCAGGTCACAAATTGGTAAGTCAGCAGATAAATATTAGTTGACTTCTAACCCTTTGCGCACTTATCTTGAGGCAACCTCAACATTGCAAAATTGGTCTACCGCTCTGATGTCGTGTCCCACACATCACATGTTTTTTGTTATTTTCTGAGCTATGAATTTGTGCTAATTTTGACTTCACTATGTGGTGGGATTGCAGGAAACAGAGAATTAGGAATGCAAAGGGCTAATGATTTTTGGTTAGGAATTGAGAAAACATATTGTCGTGAATTTCAAAATAATGGCATTCATTTATCATCATAATTTCCTTTAATTCCTTCAAGTAAACAGTCCTCATCTAAGACTGCCTTGGTGATATTTGTTTTGGAGAGAGAGAGATAAAGAAGAAAAAGACACGAGTACTCGATAGGCTAGTTAGTTGTAGTATTTATCTAATACTAAGATGATTACCTGAATGCAAGAGAAGTAGCTCTTCAAATAAGCTTATGGAATGCCTTTGTCAGATCACATGTTTCTATAATATTAGTTATATCTTACTGAGATTAGCACTAATTTAATATCTTCCTATGACAGGGTGCATTGTCAAATTACTGTGAATAATGATATCCAAAATGGCTTATCTCGCAGGAGGAGTACTTTCCATTTCACAATACCATAAATGATTGTAATAAATATTCATAATGAAACACTACATGTTTATTTCTTGCATTTAACAGCATTCCTGTGGATTGCAAACATGTGCTTCTCGACAGTATGAAACAGTTTAGGAATCCAGTCTAAAGTTAATTCACTAACTCCTTCACCAGACAGCTATTCTATAAATTGTCTATGGGATATGAATTGCATCTTAATGTGTTGGTTGCATTTTTGATTCATCTAAACAATTGAGTGACAAGAAAAGAGATGTGTTAGCCTTTTGCCTGTTAGTTATGAGGCAAAAGCTTTTAAATTCTACCTTGTAAAATGTGTTTTGTCACTTATAATAATTAAAAAATGTTAAAGAGAACATACTTCCTTTCATAGCAATAAGCAGAAAAAGATTTGATTTAGTCTACCAGTAGTGTAACAACCTTAATTAAGTAGCCACCTCAAGTAATGACCATTTTTTGCCAGAATAATTGGTGGCTTCTTATGACAGCTGTCACTGTATTTGCATTCAAATATTTGTTTTATGTTTGTTTTATTTTGTTGTCAGTGTATACTTACATGTTCTTTTATTTTTAGGGTTTCAATATTGTAACCAGCACGGGCAAAGAACTTGCTGCTTCTTTAGATGAAGCAGTATTACCTGATAATCCTTATTTTAATACGATGTTGAGAATTTTAGCAACTCGTTGTATGATGCAAGCAGTGTATTTTACAAGTGGAATGTTGCAACCCGATGAATTCTTTCATTATGGTTTGGCTTGTCCAATTTATACTCACTTCACATCACCAATTCGCCGGTATGTAAGGAATGTCTGCATGAATTAAATCTATAAATATTTTTTTCCAGTTTTCTTTTGCATGGTAAGGGGTTGTCCATAAATTGTGTGATGCTAAAGAGGGGGAGGGTTTTTGAGGCAGTAGTAGCATTACTCAGAGATAGAGGGTGTTAGTTTAGTGTTACGTAACAGTGATTTATTTTTAATTTTTTGACTTCTTCTTTGATTTTTTGACTTTGATTCTGGTAAAACAATTACTTTTTCTATGCTATCCCAAAACATTAAAATATTAATTACTTTTTATTACTTTCATTATTAATTATATTAATTACTTTATTTATTAAATTAATTACTTTTTAAAAAACAAATAAAGTAAAGTGGTTATGTGTAATTTGTTACAAGAAATGGAAGTATTTTTTCATAATTTTTTATGCGATATAATTTTGTAATTTTATTGAATCTGTAAGATTATGAAGAAAATGTTCAAAACTGATCTATTGTATATTCTAGAATCCAATTAAATTGGTGTAGATGTTTGTCGCTCATGCATCATACATGACACCATGTGCATGAGTTGTGAAAAATGTTCACGTCTGTGCGTCCTTCCTTCACACAGCACTTGTTCCCAATCCTATTATGCGGTGTAGTCACCCAAATACTTCTGACTTTAATTATCATAAATTTTAAAATATAACACAAATAAAATTAATACAAATTGTTTTGTCAGTTTTTTTGTTTTTTTTGTTTTGCAAATAGGTGGTCTTAAGCATTATATAATTGTTTAGAGGGTTCAAGTGCATGTTATGGATGTGTGACAGTGGGAGGAGGGTGTATTCAAAATTCTCCAAATTTGCTTAATATAAGTTGTGGACAAATTTAATTATGGTGTTCTTTATATTATTTGAATTTATTGACGTTAACACAGGAAAAAACAACAAAGAGCAAAGTCAAAAAATAATTAAAATTTGCTATCACTAAGAAAGTCTATGTATCACTAAAAACGTAACTGATTGCTTTTCCGCATGGTGTGGCGGGTGTTGCCATGCTAAGGGGCTGTGGCAGTTGTGCATTTCCTGTCACAAATGTAGAACACTGCTTTGACCCGCGAAGTCTCAAGTAACATCAAGCAACATCAAGCTTGAAATCAATGCAACCAGCCGCAGGTTACCACCGCCTATTGTAGCCCATGCAGGATACAGCATATTGATTCCTATCCTATAGTTCATGTTCTGTCTGGTTTTGCATCTGCGATATTAAACAAAAAAGAGTGGTAGGAAAAGGCAACCTCTTTCATTATCAGATAAAATTAAAATTTTAAAAGTTGTTAGAGGGAGTGGCAATAAAAAAAGAGTAGATATTGCTAAAGAACTGGGAAATTGGTAAAAAGATAATGGAAAAATATTGAGTTTTTATTTTGCTCATAAAAATCAATTTCTGTTATGATGAAATTTGCAGTTCGCATACTGCTTTAGTTCACGTGTAACACCTTTTAGAAAATGATTAAGAGGTTTATTGTTTCACACTCGTTTTCTATATTAATTCTGTATATTGTAATGAAAACCTATTAATAAATTGATGAACTTTTCATTCTTTCAGATATGCAGATATCATTGTTCATAGACTTCTAGCAGTGTGCATTGGTGCTGACAGTACATATTCAGATTTGCTTGACAAACGCAAGAGTCATGCTCTTTGCCACAATCTGAACTATAGAAATAGAATGGCCCAATATGCTGGAAGGGCCTCTGTAGCACTGCATACACATGTAAGTAAACACAAAGTGCTGAAATTTAATATTATTTTGAAAGTGGCATGTGGTGCAATAATTACCTGAAGTGACCAAATTGTCATGAAGATAGCAAAATAGCATTCTCTGAGAAGAGAAAAAGTATTTGATTACTGTATAAAAGAAAAGGAGTTTAAAAGTGAAAATCACTTATTTTTACTCCCTGGTGGTTTGTTATTATTCATCATCATTGAGCTTAATGTCGTCATCCATTGAGACATACGGACGGCTCATAGCAACCCTTGGAGCGAATTAAGAGTCCGAGAGGAAAGGCTTCTCCAGGTAGCACACATGTTGTGATATGCAGACCCATTAACAGCGCAGGCGGAATAAATCGCCCTACCAACTCCTAACCACACAGCTGAAGGATAGGTAGGAAAAGTTCATTCATGGAGGTTCGGAAAAGGCCCAACCATTACACAGAAATCTACAACAATGCCTATGCAGGATTCAACCCCTCCAACCCCTTGTATATTATATTATTCTATAGCTTCTGGTGTTCTATTGATGGGAACTGTAAATGCTACTTATTTCATGAATAGTCAGATGTTCAAGAAATTATTTACCTTTATTAAATTCTTATTATTTTAATGAGCTGTCAACAGTAATGCTTTCTGGAAGTTGTGTGCTTGTTCCCTACAATAGTAATATGCTTGTTTTATTGGTTCAAAAATTTTTCCATTTATCAATTGTAATTGAGATTGAAGTTTGAAATATCTTGTGTTTTAAATATGAGGAAGGTGAATGTTGTGACAATGGATGAAAGTGCATTAAAGAAAGGGAAGAAATATAAAACTGCTCAAAATGTGGCTTCAGCCTCTAGTGTTAAATTTGATTACATTAATCATTAGAAGTCTGGAAGAAAAATAAAAGTTAAATATAAAATGTGTTTTGTGTAAGAGAAGGATAACATCCTGAAAGTAGAGAAGATATTTTCAAAGTATCATTAGTTTTTGCTCCTCTTTTTGTTATTTGACATGTAATATTTCATCACATGCCATATCATGATAATTGTCTTCCAGATACTATAAACAAGTATTTTGGACAATTTCATTAAACTCTAGAAGTAGGTAGTGCTATAAGCATTTGTAAATCTGTTGTATGTTTGATTTGACATTACTTTAGGTTATAAGTATTTATCAACTAGAACAAGGCTATACATGGGATATTGTTAGTTCCATTCACATAAATTTCTTTTGCTGCAGCTATTCTTCAGAGGGAAGGTGCAAGATGAGGAAGGTTATGTTCTGTTTGTACGAAAGAATGCATTGCAAATTCTCATTCCTAAGTATGGTCTTGAAGGAACATTGTATGTGGTACCTAAGAAAGGAGAAGTTGCCACTGCAAATTTTGTGTACAATGAGGAGGTATGTAAACACACATAAATGTTGGAATACTGATCATGATACTTATTTGGAAAAGTAATTTTAGAAAAGATTATATAGGTTATATAGTTCATTTTATCCAATATTAAGCCTTATTTTATTTTCAGGAACAAACGCAAAAATGTGGTGATGTGACATTTAGGTCATTTGATCCTGTTACTGTTCAGTTGAGTTTAGATCGTAGCAATTTGCAGCATGAGAAATTAGTGTTGAAGTTAGTGAAGCCTGTGGTAAGTACCTGTTTCCAATTCTTATTTCTTTCTTTTCTTCTTCTATTAATTCAAAAAAATTTAAAATAAGAATTTGAGTTCATATTAAAAAAATTAATTGTCTTCTGTTTGATTTTTAACTGCACCTAATACTTGTAATAAAATACTAAATATCAGAATAGAATCATTACATAAAATTGTTAGGAGAATTATTGAATATTTTGGGGTTTGCTTGTATATACTATATTTACTAGTGTTGTACAATTTTATACATTAAATAAATCAATCTGAAACTTCATTCAGTGGATTCTTACAATTTACACTTAGTTACCATATTTGCATATTTACTTTTATGTTGGTTATGCTTGCAGATTCCTGGATTTAGTGTACCATCAAGTGATGAGCCAATTCCAATGGCAATAGATGAACAAGATGGTGGGAAACGTAAGGATGGTTCTGTTGTTGATACTGTTTCTCAGAAGAACAAATCATCTCCATCCAAGAAGAAACGTAAGAAGTGAGAACATTCACTGCCCCAGAAGAAATAAACAGGGGCATTGGTGGATTCTGTGCTCTTACAAGTGTACTTTTGCATTGAAATATAGTGTTTTATACTACAACTTTTTAACTTTGTGATCTCCACTTCAGGATATATTTGTAATAATTGTGAAATATTTCTGACAATTCATTTGTTTGTTGATGAATGTATTTTAAATAGATATCTTTTTATATTATAACTTACAAACTATTATACATAAGTTAGATGATAAATTTTGTTCTAGTTCATATGCTTTTGATTGTAAATTACTATTGTGGAGTACTCTTCAATGGAATAAATTGTTGCAGTGGATGAGAGCATAGCTGTCATTAAATAAACAAGTTGGATATGCTCTATCCAAATAATAAAGAACTTTGCAGTAAAGTATATCTTGTTGTGCAATATTCACTCATTCTTGGTATTAAAGTGGATAGATTAGAGTATTTACTCATGAACTTATGAAAGCTGCTTCGTAACAGTCATTTTCTATATGAAATCGTTATTGATCATGAGTAATAATACAATTTTTATTTGCTCTTTAGGCAGGTAAAGCTATATTATTCACTGTGGATCTGGAGCAGTCTTAGCGTAACCCAGTGATTGCAATACAGCCTTTATATCACGGTACACTGTTGGATCTTCAATGGTGGCAGGAATCTGTGGACAAGTATCATACTATGCAATATCATTTTGTGCATTTTAATTTAGCATACTGAGAGGTAGAATTCAGTGAGTTGCATTGCATGTTATAACTTGGGGCATGTTTCAGGTAAGGAAATGTTTTGGGAATGAACAGGGTGTTTTTTACATTCTTAGGTGAATAAAAATGTTTGGAGAGGTTTTAAAATAGGGAACAAAAAATGTGTGAATCGTGTTTCAGAATAGCTGTACATTATGGAAATGCTAAATCATAATAGATGAGAAGTATAACCTAAATGCAGAAGTTGATTTCCATTTTGAACACTTCGAAAATTATTTTATCATTTTACTACATATGATTGAATAAGTCACAAAAGAAGAAATTGTATTAGCTGACAAATAGTGTGATAGGATATGCAATTAGAAGCATTCAATAATAATAATAATTATAATAAGATTGATGTCTGAATAAATAAATAAAAAAATAAAATTTTGGGGGACTTCGCATGATGCCCATGGAACATTTTCCAAATTTTCTCAAAAACAGCTCCAATTTTTTTCTTTCAATTTCTTGTAAGAATAGAGTATAATAAGCTTATAAAGGTGTGATAGGTCCAATTTTCACGGTTAACTCTGAATTTTCGAAAATTGCAGAAGTTTGAATATTTTTTTGGCCTATTCCTACAACTAAAAAATTGAATATAGATATTTTTTCCTTATATAAAATTCGTTCTCCATAGTGAGTTCTTTCATTAAGATCATGTACATTTTGTGGGATATTTTAGTAGTTATTGCACATTGCGAGCAATCTGTACAATTTTAAAAAATTACAAAAACAAAAATTTTCTCAAAAACAGCTCCAAATTTTTTCTTTAAATTTTTGGTAGGGATAGTGCAAAATTCGCTCTATAAGAAAACATAAACACGATATTGTTCTATTCTTTTGTTTTGTAGAAAAATACAAAAATGTAATTCTTTTGTCTTGTCTCTCATATCATTAATATTTATATTAGTGGCAATTTGCTCACATTATTATATTTATGAGTATATGTGCTTTAAATCATGTCAGATGAAGTTTCTTGAAAACTCAACAGTATTCAGTGAAAACTAGCTCAAAATTCTGCATTTTCAGAAACATTCAAATGCCATTATCTCAGAAACAGCTCCAATTTTTTTCTTGAAACTTTTAGAACTGATAATGCTAATTGCACTCTTTAGTATGGCATAATCTTCATTTTAGGTAATGTAATTTTGAATGGGGAAATGTAATTTTTTGGACAGATTTCTCATGCTATTAATATGCACATTTTCAGAAATTTGGAAACCCTATTGTATTTAGAAGATAAATTTTCCAGGCTGGTAGGCCGAGGTCCAGTTGGCATTAAAGAGCCAAACGTTTCGTCCATGTGTGCGCTGAACATCTCAATGGTGGCATAGTCGCGGGCACAGTGTTTGGGGTGCCGCCACCTTTCTTCACATAGACATAAAAAAGCCAATGAATTGTAAAAATTGAGGGCTGTTTTATGTGACTTAATTTTTGTTTGTGAAGAAATATATTAATTTCTTTTGTAAATAATAAACAATTTAGATAATTCTGCATGGTTTATGTACATGCTGCTGGTGGGGTTGCTAAAGCAGTTAGCATTGTCAACAATCATTTTGCCGTTAATCGATATTTAGGTATCAAAAACCCCACAAAACAAGGATTCTGGCTACACTAAGTTTTGGAGGATTTTTTCTAAATTCATCAACTGGATTTATCCACTTTTTAGTTACCAGGGCCTGGCAATAAGAGTTTTTCTGTCGAAAATTCGCCGTTTTTTCCCGCAGCATTCGCAACTTTCTCTATATTGCGTAAGCAGTAGCGTGAAAGTAATAAATGTATATTAATAATAAGATTACGATATTCAATTCGATGCAAGCAATTTATGAGAATTATTTTCGATAAAGGACAAAAATTTCTATCGGCTAGACATTGTGGCTTGATTTTACCCTTCTTAAAGAGGAAGACAGTGTCTGCAAACGTAAATGGTCCGAAACAGAGATTAAGTTGTTTGCACAGACAAAATGCAGGCCTGAATAAAATCTTTATAAAATGTTAATATATTTTCTGAAAAATAGAATCAATATTTCCAAGCAGATATCAAACCAAGAAAACAAGAGGTACTTCATCATTGAATACTGAATGCAGATTAGCAAATACTATACAAAAAACTACCTCCAACATTATCAAATCTTTAAAACGAAATTGCATTTCCAAAGAAAAAAATAAGATAGTAATTGTATACACTTGCTTCTGATTTTAATAACGTTTGCTTTGGAAAGAGACTTTCATACTCAAATTCATTTCTTCCCACGCGAGGTTAAACATGTAGGACTGGAATATTACGATTAACTTTTTCGCCTCTTACGAAATTCGTTTACTACGTTCCATGAAGTCACGGAGATCAAGCAAATTCGAGACCTCGCTTGTTCCTGGTTGGGTGACTGTCTAGAAACATCTAAAGGCGCCGAGCCCCTAGTCGAATGCATAAAAGGCACTGACTGCGACGTGATTTGACAATGAAAACAACGAGCATTACTCCAATGCAAGCGCTCAACGCCAACGAAACCGAGACATCTTAGAGGAAGATATTGTTCAGGTGTGCGTCACGTATTTGATAGAGCTTTGTCTACTTCGCCAGTCGCATAGCATGAATATCGCATATGTCTCTCGCCGATGTCCGCGAGTCTGCCCGGCGCTTCGCCCCTTGGGCTAATGACGTAATGTTTGGGCCCAGATATAAAAGAGGACCTAGACTAAAGGTTTTGCGATTGAAATAAATATTAATTACTTGATACTTTCTGCGATAATTTGCGATAGTTGATACAATAAAATATTTAAAAACTCCTGCTCTTGAAAGGTATTTTCCTTTTCGGTAGCTTATGAAACCATTTTATCCAAATTAATATAATTGGTAACATTGGTTTCTGATGTAGTAAATATAGACCAGGATGAATATGAATTTGTGAAGGTATATTTTTATTATTTACTTGTGCTTGCTACACACTTTTATAAAAGAGGCCCGGATAAAAGTGTTGCGGCAGAGTTCGCACTTTCTTCGTTACGCTATTTCCGTGGGCAATTCTGTTGCTCTTGCCCGCCCCTATTTTAGGTCCAGTGGGGTGAGACTACACAGAAATGCCAGGGGAAGTGGCAGTGGGAAACGCAACTTTAGTGGTCGCGCCCAGAATTGAAACGTGAATGGTCTCTTGGATTACATTTGTACTCCTTTAAAAAATCTTATTAGTAATATTTTAGGAACAAATCATCTCTTAGCCCAAATGCAGACGAGCAGTAGTATCTAAAACTTTGGGTCTTCTGAATAAAAATGAGCACTGGCTGCGAAGTAAGGAGCAAAGTGAGTCTACTCCGCGGCACCGAGCAAAAGATCCATTTCCTATGAATAAAAATTTCGTATGTCTCCGAAGAACTTGCTCATGTCTCGCGAGCATTAGCTCGTTGAGAACAAGTGATAGTGCAGGCTAAGAGTTTTAAAAATTGGTTTCTTGAGAAACAAAGAGGTTACATACGTTACGGGCAATGTTTTGTTGTCTTGTTCTTTAAATTCGAATATAAGTAGTAGTAACGCAGAGCAGGCGCCAATGGCCCAGCTAGTTTTTGCCGAAATGCTACGCGAATTTGAAATTATTTTTTAAAAGAGCCAGCTTCCGCTGGAACGCAATGGCCGAAATGAAACATTACAAAGTTTGAAAAAACAATACCCCGAAAAATACAGAGTAGAAAACAGCGATGGCTCTTAACATAAACATTAACATAAAATATATGCAATATGAAAACGCGTCTGCAAGCAAACTCCGATAAAAATCGTACCAACTACACATTGTCCTTTTCGATTCGGTAAAGATTCTAATAGTCTACATCACGACAATTTCACCTTATCTTGTAACTTTTTTTCGTCCGCGGCATCTGTATATCAACACACGGTAAAAAGAATCGACAATTTATTCTTACTTTTGAAAGGTGAGTCTGCTGCTAAGGTTCGTCCAAAATTTTGGAACAACTGCTCAATCTAGAGAGTAAACGCTTAACTTTATTCATACTAATTCTGAGCATTTGCTCGCCAGTTAAGAGTTCGCTCAGAGGCGGAGCTAGTGCTCAGAGACTGAGCAGTTGCTCATCCACTTTATTCATACGAAACTGAGAAGGATCTCCGAAATTCGGAGCAAAGAGGAATTGCTTACTTTTATTCATTGACTAGTCACAAAATATTAAATTTATTGTAGTATTAATATATTACAAATTCCATGGAATGCTACTCAAAATTGCATCTATTATGCCTTTAAATAAATTTACTCAAATACATGTTAGCATATGTTTATTTTTGAAAAGTCTAGTGCACCTGATATACTTTGCATCATTATTATGTCACAATAGTTTAAACATTTGGAGTTCCTATTTTGAAGGTTTAATATCAACATCATAAACATCACGCACAAATTTTCTTTATGTGTTCTCGGCAAACCCATTGGTCACCATTTACAAATAGAGTACTTTTGTTAACGTTCACAGAGATATCAACGTCCCTTGTAGCACTTTTGTGACTGCGCTGACCCCTCGATCCCTTCTCGAATTCCCAGTACAAGTCCCCCGCGTGTTATTATTGCTGTCGGCACAGTTTTACTCTAGATTCTGCTTTTCATTTCTGGTTTCATAAGAGACAAAGCGAGCTTATTTAGATTCGTCTATTCAGCCTTTCTCCACTATTGTTCTTTGCATAAACATTCGCAGCATTGATTGCAGCGATATTCATGAGTCAGCGGACGTCAGAAACTGAACCGCGAGTGGTCGCGCGGATTGCTATTGTAATCCAAGCTGTTTCCTGTGCTTATCGCTAATGCAGCAGTTATCACTTGAGCTATAATTCATAAATTCAATTGATAGAGAATTCCTCCAAAGGTACTGAAATGTCCATACTTGAAGTTTGTCAACTCTCGCTGTAAACAGCGAATGAATAAGACTGGATTACAATAGCAATCCACGCGACCACTGAAGGGTTACCCACCAAACCAATAACCAAATCAACCCCTCACCATATGACCTTCTTCGCCAATAACTTTTATTCAAACATCTGCTATTTTAATCAAAGCAGAAATCTCAAATTGTGTATTTCTACAAAACGTGAAACCCCGATTAAAGAACAGATACCCGGTACATCTTCATGATTTTCTTAAATATTTTCATCAACCCAGAATAAACCAATTGTGGTGCTCTCTGTGTCCCCTCCTCAAACGTAGGATAGTGTTAACTGTAATTAAATTAAGTTAGATTGTAAGCCTATCGCTACAAATGTAAATTAAAAATCTAACAGAACTTTATAAACTCAACCTCAACATGAAAAAATAGGTGTTTTTGTTTTTTTAAAAAAGAGAGAGAGAGAGAGAGCGAAAGAGAGAGAGCGCGGTTACCTTCACAAACTGGTTGCGAGCGAGGTCTGCGACAGTCTTGCGAGCCAGTTTGCCCGAGCGGTTGCGGGGCAAGCCGCGCACGGCAGCGCACAGGCGAAAGGCCGCAATGGGGCCCACCAGCTCACGCACCATCACCACCAGCTCGCGGCACACCTCGCCCTCGCTCTTCTGAACACCTGCGCCGGGAACAAGGGTTAGGCGCTGCACGCGACACCTCCGGCAAATCGTTCGTCTTTCTCACAAGAGCCATGTAATGTTCTCACACGGCAGTTTGTGGACGACAATCACGTGAGAGGTGGAGTTGCTTCATAATAAGTTTTACTAGCTTTTGTGGCGTCAAGGGGGGGGGGCTAAAGGTAACAATGTGTTAATGAACATGTGGGAACTTTTATATCTCGGCAAAGTATTTAAGCGTAGGCACACTATGTGATCAAAAGTATCCGGACACGTCCAATGTGGAGTTATGGTGTGGTCGTGTTTTTCATGGAGGGGCTTGCACCATTGTTTTGTATGGCACTATCACGGCACAGACCTACGTTCTTTTAATCACCTTCTTGCTTCCCACTGTTGAAGAGCAATTTGAGGATTGCAATTGCATCTATTAACACGAAAAAACACCTGTTCATACTGCACAGCCTTTGGCGGAGTGGTTCCTCGACAATAACATCCTTATAATGAACTGACCTGACCAGAGTTCTGACTTGAATCCTATCGAACACCTCTGGGATGTTGTGGAACGCCGACTTCCTGGCAGGCCTCACCGACCTACATCAATACGTCTCCTCAGTGCAGTACTGCGTGAAGAATAGGCTTCCATTCCCCAAGAAACCTTCCAGCACCTGATTGAAAGTATGCCTGCGAGAGTGTAAGCAGTCATCAAAGCTAAGGGTGGTAACATCCAATTGAATTCCAACATTATCAATGAAGGGCGCCACGAACTGGTAAGTTATTTTCAGCTCTGTGTCCGAATACTTTTGATCACATAGTGTATATTCCCGATGTATTTAGGCACATGAAATCTCTTTACGCCAGAATGTGACCTGCCAAACGCCACCAGTTCAGTTTTTGGCAAGAAGTGACCATTTTTAACACCCTACATGCCTGAGAAATTTGAAACGTTTATTCTGAGACATGTACAGAAAATCAGTTGAGCAGTTGATATTGATGAACAAAAGTTTCAGTTTAGGGATCTATTTGTATCTTTTTCTATTTTCTTTCATTTCTAATCGATACTTTACATTATCCTCCAATTTAATCTATTTGTTATGATTAAATGCTTTATTCTCTTATATCCTGATGCAATGAAGAATATTTTGGTTCCTAATGTTTGTCCTGGCCATTTTTTGTTCTACAGATATCAAGCCGGTTTTAAAATTTAGTTTTTAGGCGGGATAAATAGCTGAAGAGAATAATGTATTACAAGTGGTAGAGGCGAAGAGATAAGAAAATGTTGGAAAGAGGTAAAGATGAGAATATCTAGATAGAACGAAAGGGAGATCTTTTATGAGGAAATAGTGTTTTATTTAAGAGGAACAGAATTAAGATGGATAAATGTTAACGTAAAGGACGTTTGTTGAAGAGAATCTGAGTGCAAAAACAGGACTTATGAGATAATTAGATAATTACTAAAAGAAAATTTTAGGGCGTGGTTTAACGAAATAGAAGTAAGAGCTGAATGCAGTAAGCATATGAATACTATGGGCCTGGAAATAGTAGTATAGCGACTTTTCAGTAGAGAACAAGATGAGAAGTAGGAATATTGGGCAAAAGGCGAAGATACGACGTGTATGATTTGTGCACTTTCATGAAAGTGATGCAGGCACATGGGAGAACGGGATCGATGGATGCGGGAGATGGAGAGTGGATAATTAATGGGGAGGAAGGTGTAGGGAGGTATTACGTGATGATGGAAGAGGAGAATGAGTCATCATGGACGTAAGCGATGAGGAAGGAGGAAGCGTTCCCTCCAATATTTTTAGTGTAATGGACGGAACTCCTCAGTAATCTATACCTTACCTATTAAACCATCTCTTCAATAAGTTGGTGCTGGTGACGCCCGTAGGAGTAATGGTGAGAGAAAAACTAAGAGGAAGCAGGATGAGAAAGTAGGGAGGTAAAGCAGTAGTGAGTATGAATATAAGTTTAAAAAGGAAGTGACTAGTGGGGAGCAAGTGAACGAGATAATAGTGCAATAAATCACACCAATTAGAAAAGATAAGGGGTAGGAGAGACTGAAAAGTGAACAAATGTATCTTGGAGAATGTGTTCCCTTACACCTATATCTATTGGTTCATACTGACGAGCTGTTTTCGATTCTCAGTGCTAGCACAACATGAAACATACGAATTTTGAGTTAGGGCCGTTATTTTATAATTATAATAATAATAATAATAATAATAATAATAATAATAATAATAATAATAATAATAATAATAATAGTTATCATTATAACTATGACACGCCATAATGCATCAATTATTAAGAGTTTGTTTGACACCTGTATTTCAACCGCAAACGAAAACTTAAACACTTTTGTCACAAAATTTCTTTGTCGATGTATTATATATTATGTAGTACTAACGTAACTTTTGAAACGAAGTCAGAATCTTTTAACATTAATAAAGAGATAGCACACGATAACATTTTACTTAAAATTTCATTTTTTCAGTTGTGTCGACATTGTGACACATGAACGATATGACGACACTTGAACCAGATGCTATTTTTCCAATAACATTCCTGACAACTTGGCAGCTGGGGGTAAGGTAAAGCGATGATGCCACTTACTCGGGCGGCAGACACGTGTTCATTCTTGCATCAGATCGCAACAGTAGCAAGAAACAAATCGCGATAAGACCACCCAAGAATAGAAGATAGAACCTCACACACGATGCATAACCCAAGAAGTAATGGCGCTCTTCAATTTTCAGTTGCTTCGCGTTATAAGATTTTCTTTATTCCTTACGTATCGGCAACTCTGTAGTGACGTCAATCGAATTGAAAGCCTCTGATTGGAGAACGGATCTCCCCCTCCCTTGTCAGCCGCTAGCTGTCAAGTAGACAGAAATATCCTCGGGACAAGAGTGAAGGCGCGGCAGGGGGGGGGGCGTGCTCACCCGGGTCGACGGTGAAGAGGCAGAGCGGCACGTCGCCCTTGGTGGGCTCGGGCACGCCCACCACCAGGGCGTCGCGCACGGCGGGGTGGCTCAGCACCACGTCCTCCAACGCGGACGTGGACAGCCGGTGGCCCGCCACGTTGATGACGTCGTCGTCGCGCGCCGTCACGAACACGTAGCCGTTCTCGTCGATGTAGCCGGCGTCCATCGTGTCGTAGTAGCCCTGCGCAGCGCGGAGCGTGCGGAAGGCGTTAATCTAGATTGGCCCCCTTGAAAATTTCGAAAGCTTTATGTAATAAAATATTTTATTTTTTACTAGTACGTTCGAGCTTGCCGTGCCTTCGATACGGAACTCAATATACTCTGCATAACTTACCTGGATCGTGGTAACGAGGGAAATAAAAAATCTGTTGACATGTTCTCTTGTGGAGGGAATTATGAGAAGACAAACCGAGTCAAGTTAACATCTAGTTGATTACTAAATAAGTAAATGTGAATCAATAAAATTAGGTTAACAAAATATGGTTGTACTACGGGCGTTAACTGGTTCTAATGATCGAGAGGCGATAAAATGCCCGAGGGCTCTTTGTCACCGCTCGATCATTAGAGCTTTTATAACGCCCTTTGTGCATAAATAACTATTATTTCTGTAAACATGATAATTTCTAATTTTTCCTCTAGAATTTTTTTCCTATCGCTTTGTGAACACGACATTCTGAGGCGAAAATAACCATCATGCAACCCTGTAATTATTAACACATCAAATCATTGTATTTCTTCAAGTTTTAATTTATTCTCTATTAGTGTTTACGTATTATTTACAGGTAAAATGGCGTTGGTAAATAAAAAACTTGAACGGAAAAGAGGGCCCATAAATGTAATTGTCCTTTTGTTTGAGGATGCGCATACACTATGTCAATCTTCATGCAACTCTCCAATTGTAAGGTAGTCTTGGGAATACAACATCATCCAGAGAGGATTTATTTGATGTCAGTTTACATGTCATTCGAAATAATTTTGAAAAGTACTGTCTGTAGCAGTTTAAATATACTTACTAGTTTCGGTACGTTCTCAACCTTATTAGAAATACTGCACCAATTCAACGTGTATGCTTTATTGATTTATATAGCTATCTCACTGATTTTTCCTTTTAAATGTAACTATGTGTAAGAAATTAATCCTGTATGTTATAGCTGTTAACATACCTAGAAATATAATAACGCTGTAACACGTGGCATGTTCAGCATTTTGTGTGACACCATAAACTTTCACGATTTAGGCAAAAATTTCGACATTACTGCGATAGTAAGCAAATGAATTCTGTTGCTGCGGCACGTTACTACAATATTGTGAGATTTTGCTTGAGATATATCTATGTAAAAAATATTCACATACCGTGGTTCGAGAAAAGATGGATGCAAATAGTTCTCCTGATAAGGAGGACTTAAAGATACCTAAGAAAATAACGTTCTGTGAGGAAATTGTCTTATCGACGTTCAGTGACAATACCTTCAGACCGTCAGTAAGTATGATTACCAGGGAAGAGTTTCATTTTGTGTAATGTCAGAAAAAAGTTAGCTAATTTATCATTTTTTTATTGTACTATTAATAATACCATTAACAAAACGCTTACTATCCTTAAAACTAATGGGCTCTTATTCTAAATTGTTAGAATCTGATTTGTTTTGTACATACCCATGTTTTTTCTTAATAAAGATTTGACTTGCGTCGATGATTGTTTATTTACGTTGCAAAGACGGTTAAAACCCGTTGCCGAGGATGTTAAATTTCTTAACATACAGGTAAGTACAAGTGCACTTAAAAATGCAGGATTGAGGGGTTAAGACGCATGTGGCCAATAAAATAAATTAAATTAAATATTTAAAATAATTTGGGGTTTTTGGATTAGAAACAAACTTTTGCTTTCTTCTCAACCATATTTTATTAAGTTTACTTTAAATGTCTAGTAGTGTTTACCAGATGTGTTACCACTTGCTATTATTAACCGGTTTTATAGTATAAACACTTATCTTTAAAAAATCTTAAAATTAATTGAATGAACACTTATCTGAAGTCATTTGATCATTATGTCGTTTAAAGACCATATGCATTCATTGCATACTAGTGAATCCGGGAATGAATGCACTTCACACACTACTGGTCAAGTGATTATTAATCTCAAACGTTTCATTTGCAAAGTACGACCCCTTAATTCGTTTAACTAATTCATTTCTATTAAAGTACCCTTCCTAAAATCAGTTCCAAATTAAAGTGACGCTTGAATTTTTCTTTTTGAAAACCTATCCGCAGCCAATATTCGCCTTAATTATTGACATGTTCGCTGCTAATTTACCATTACAGAAACGCGCCGCTGAACAATGAGTCTGCGACGTGTGGGTTCGACCCCCTGTGCCTGATTGCAAACTGGATTATTCCCCAGTGAAGCACCAATTACAAACTCATTGACTCACGTCTGTTCCACTGTTTTCACAGAGGTGACGCCCGCGCCATTGAACCAATTTAAGTTACCACGTTTCCAAAATTAACTACGTTATATAGATAGGTATTGGAATGACCAGAGAAATGAGGAAAGAATATATTATTTTCACAAATTCTGGCTGAGTAATTTGTTATTTGTTTTTCAAGTTTCGAGAGCCGTATGTTGAATGTTTGAAATAGAAATATGTTTTAAAAAAACCTAGTGACTAGCATGCATGTAAATGAGTGGACCTACTGAAGTAACATTTTGTTATGTGATCGAGTACTGGAACTAATTAATGCGTTGAGGTTGAATAGTGTGTTGCTCTAAAATGGAATAAAAATATGTTTTTAATTATTCATTCATTCATTCATTCATTCATTCATTCATTCATTCATTCATTCATTCATTCATTCA